CCTAGAATAATATAATCATACATCATACTATCTATACTATTAATCCTGTTTAATAATGTTGACACTGTTCACACAGTTTATTCTATCCAAACTATGAATACTGTTTGTCCTGCTCAAAGCACTATTTATCCCAACCTGTATATTTAGATTATTTTAGACTGTATCCATATATCTACATACTCGTATATTAGTGTATCCATACTATTTATACTTTAACATACTGTAAATAATGCACTTTACTGCTTCTTTAGCACTTAGATACTAAACTGCATTTCTTCTACTCTGTGCAGTGACAATAAACTTGAATCTAATCTCATATAAATGATATTTATTCATCAGAACATGTACAAATACTAATGAATTGTATTCGTAATGTTTTCTGACAAAGTCATGCATGCGTTGCTCCACTAGCCTTAGCTATATATAAACATCTTCTTCTTCTTCTTCTTTTTTTTTTTACCAAACATGTTGTGCCTTTATCAGAACAACCACAGTCTGCTGTCTTGTTCAGCTCGTACTGTATCCGTGCCCGTATGTGAAAAGCTCACCTCCTGGGGTCACAGCAGCGATGCATCTTTTTTGTTTTCTGTGTGGGCTGGTTATCGCTTCTATCTGCTCGCGTTTCCTTTTTTGGCCTTTCCTGCCAGCAGTTGTTGTGTGATGTCACAGACGACGCTCGCAATTAGAGTTTTAGATTTTAAAAAAAAAATGATGAGAAAGGATGTGCTGGGGTGTGTGTGCATGTGTGTGTGTGTGTGTGTGGGTTACAAACCTCTGGACTGATAAAGGAGGGTGATGTGAACTTTAAATACAACTCTAATCTGACAAGAATAATCAAACCACTCTTCGTTGAAAAAAAAAAAAGAAAAAGAAAAAAAAGCGTATGTGTGTGTGTGTGTGTGTGTGTGTGAGACAGAGAGTCAGATAGATATAAAAAGGTTTGTAGGTCAGAGCTCCTCAAAGTATTTCAACAGCCTGCGCAGAAAGAGTGTGTTCATCTCTGGATTTCAGTTTTGTATCAGTTCTGGCTGACTGTAGCCGATCGCCTCAGGTGAACCTGTGAACCCATGTGATGAATGTGCGTAACTATCAGTGCAGATATTCATGGGAACTGTGTTAAGATCAGAGCGCGGCGAAGCTCATGAGGCGGTGTGGCCCACGCAGCAGAGGTGCTGTCTCTCTGGAAAAACAGCTGTCTATATTTAATCAAGGCGAATAAACAAGGAGTTTAAACAACTCATTTATAATTTAGATTTGCATACATTAAAACTGCTCATTTTAATCTTTTTATTAATATGCATCGACGATATTGTATAAATATGCAGTTTTATGCAAATATCAGGCCCATTTTCTGTTTGTATTTAATTCTGTTTCCCAGCTGTGGATCATCATTTTCATTCAAGGCAACCGACTCAGATTAAGTCAAATATTAAGTCACAGCATGGGAGTGTATAAATATTTCTCAATTAAAAACTCTGAAGACCGGCTATGCTACTGTATCAGCATTAAAAATGCATTGGCATTGGGAGGAAAATAGGGGAAGGCAAGTTACGAGTTTGATAAGACATCAGAACTTCAAGTCTACATCTTTGAACTATGTTTTTTTTTTTCTTCTCCGTCTTCTTCTTTCCCTCCTCCAATCAAGTAGTTGCAATAGCTAGCACTTTTTTGCTGTTTTGGAGACTGTTACAAAATCTGGGGGATGTAAGGACCAGCCAAAAACATGCTGTGCCTCCGTTGCCGTGCCTTCTGATGTTTTTCACAGAATGTCCTACATTTTGCTGTTTCTTGCCTGAGCTGCCGCTTTTCTGTCGATGCAAATGAGCAGTTTTGTTCCAAAATGTGAAAACTACCAACTGAACAATGTGACAACAGCTGCCACAAAAGGGCTGCTGAGATAGGAGTAAAACTCACAATGCATAATTATCAGAGTTATTAACTAACTTGAGGATGATAATACCCTTGAAGCACAATAACACGTGATAGCACTTGTATCTTTGACATTTTTAAACAAGAAATTTGCAGTTTCACTTTTTTTTTTGTGGTTGAGCAATATGGGCAGTTTGAAAGTACTGACATGTGTTGGTTAATTGAGAAAGTGTCAACTTTTAAGTGGACTGTTTTTGACAAAGTACATGTTTTGTATGAACCAATCACAAGAAAGAGGAGGCGGGTTTTCAGGCAAACTAGGCATCTGATTGCATCTCCTGTTTCCACCATCAAAACTGGTCTTTGGTGAAAGAAAATGTACAAAAAGTGACAGTTATTGTTTGTGAAGGTGCATTTTGTGCTGTGTGCTGATCAGCATTAGCTTCACAATGCTGCATGATGTCTTTGGCTGAAAACGCAGGATGCAAGTATATATGTAACCCAGAAATATATTTAATATTTAATGGATGCATGCTGATAATATTCTGCAGCCAAAGTGTGATTCCAGAATGTAAAAGCGCTCGGGATGAATTGCGTGGAGGTCAAAGCAAGTCTTTTTTATTTAATTTGTTTAGCGTTTATTTTTTTTTATAGGAGCCATCATGAACCAAAACCACACAGCAAAGAATTTATAGTCTGACTTTGCTTCACCAACTGAGGCCGCATCCAGTGGGAACTCAATAGAAAAACTTGATTTTGTCTTTACTTCACAGTTGACTATCTTGTAACTTTGTAATGAAAAATCCTGCTAAATGTGCACACACGTGAGGCAACGCGTCACGTGGAGAAACATGCGAGGAAACCGCAAATAAAGCATCTTTGGAAGACTTTGGAGGAGAACAGCATAGTAAATAATGAAATAGTACACATTAGTGCAGGAAAATCCTTTCCCCACAATTGAATATAAAACTAAGTTTTGGCTTGTCAATGTGATCTTGGAGATAAATTTGGTCTTAAGCCAAAAAAAAAAGTGCAGATTCTGTGCACGCTTTGCTTTAGGATTACAGCTGAGCTCCTCAGTAATGAGTTAGTGATTATCATTTCAATATTGTAAATAGGAAATTAAATCTGTGTAGAGAGAAATGAATGAGAAAACACCACGAGCTGCAGCTACGTTGAGATTTAATCAGTGGTGTAGGAAGTTTTTAGTCTGTTTATTCTTATCATTTTTAGAAGCTATGTTTTTAGGCTTTGTCAGTCTTTATTTGATGGAGACAGTGAGAGAGATGGTCCAGCCAGGAATCCAGTATGTGACCGAAGCATTCGGCTGTACAGTCGATCCTAGTGTCTTTATTTAGGTGAATATCATTTTATAAATATACTTCATTAAAAGGAAAAATCCTACAATTAAAATGGAGTAAGTAGCATTACCACTGTTTACTCAGAGTATCACAAGTAAAAGTATTCAGTGCAGAGTAATGAGTACAATGAGTGGATTAAAGGGTAATCTGAGGTGAAATGACCTTCTGACCCCATAATTCCTCTCTTCTGGACCACTACATACAGTCAGTTCTCATTTCAGGTCTTTCCCTGGTTAATGGCAGCGTTGCTAATCTTTAAATAACATTGGAATCATTTAACCGATGGAAGGAAATCACAAGAGGTGGTTTTAAGGTATGCTGATGTAACATTTCAACAGCACAAAATAAGCCTCTATAATTTATTAGAAAGACTTACATACACAAATTTTTTGTTTGCTGTTTATTTAAGAGTCATAGGAAGTTTACTGCTTTAGTTTTTTAAAATAATATATCTAGTGTACGAGTAGGCTTTTGAGTGACGACGCCACCGTCAAAGAATCTTGCACAACTGTAGACAAAGAATTCCTGATGATTGATGACAATAAAGTATATCTCTCACTTTTGTGCTTAAGCTCATCAATTCTAAATCAGCATTAACCAAACAGTTTTTAGAAAACTTAAAAATAATTTCTGAATGTGTTTCTATCTTATCTTAAAATAAAGTAAATAATTTGCACAATTAACAAGTTTGTATTAATCAAAGGGACTCAAGAGGTTTGTATATTTGTAAGATGTCGCTGCTGAAGTGTTTGCATTTAGTTTTATAATATCAATATAGTTTGCAGAAGGGACATACTTAACTCTCTCATTACCTTCAAATTTACTGACATCTTTTATCCTTGGATTCAATTTGACCCCAGCAATTTAATCCTCTAAAAAAAAAAAACATCAACATTAAAATTGTTCCCAAGTTTATGTGTAAATAGCACTTTAAATAAAACTGAAAAAATTATGTCAATAACTTATTTAGCAATGTTAAACATTGAATGGGGTCAAATTGACCCCAAAGATAATAGGAGGGTTAAGTGAATAAATTTACAGACTAATTATACATACATAAATATACATACAGTTTGTTTGGGTTTTTTTAATTTTTTTTTTTTTTATAAATATACATACAGTTTGTTTGGGTTTTTTTAATTTATGTTTTTTAACGGAAAATATCAGCATTGCTCCAAAGGGGGCATCTCCTTAAACCACATATAGCATATATATAATTGTAAATGAATGATATCTTGTTGTTGGAGTTCATCCAGATTTAATTAGTTACAAATGTTATGCCTTTTTCCCCCTTTACAAATTAAGAAAACTTCACAGTTAATTAGCTTTATGGTTATAAATAAATCAACAACAGCTATCAGATCAATCTAGTGGTGGGATCTTAAATAGATGTGCACTCAAGCATTTACCACTAACAGGAAGTGAATAAAAAAGCTGCAGTTGCGCAGTAAAGTTCTCCACTTTAATGTAATCAACAGTCCAGACTACAAACCTGAAGCTGTGGAGGCAGCCAGGGGGGGGGGGGGGGGGGGGGGGTGGAGGGACCGTGGCCGGTGTGAATCCGCCCCTGGAAGTCATGAATACAGCCTGTTGATCCGGGCTCCAGGAGGTGATGTCTCTTTAAGAGGCTCAGCCCTCTCAGAACAATCGTACAACCCCCCAACAACTCATCGGACCTGTCAATCACCCGCTCGGCGCCCTTTGATGTCGGGACTCCTCGCCTTGTCTTGGGCTCAAATGAGCTGTTTGCAGTTGTAGGGAAACATTAGTCTTCTACCGACTCCACCAGCCGGGGGACGCCACATCTCAACTTTTTTTTTCTTTCCCTTCTTCTTCTTCTTTTACGCATGTGGTGGGGGGTTTTCTGCACTTTGGAGGCGCCCCAGACTGAGGAGATTTAACGCAGAAGTCCGTCGATTTGACTTTTTTTTTTCTTCGTATCATTCTTTTTTTTTTTTTTTTAAATATAAAACAAAACAAATAAAAAAAAAAAGAAGCGTACCATCGCAGGGGGTGGAAGTAGACAACATGCCTCAGCTCAGCAGCGGCGGCGGGGACGACCTGGGAGCGAATGATGAGATGATCTCGTTCAAAGACGAAGGAGAGCAGGAGGAGAAAATCCAAGAAAACGCGTTCACGGAGAGAGACCTGGCCGACCTCAAGTCCTCTCTGGTGAACGAATCGGAAATAAATCAAAGTCCGAACGCGGCGGTAGGTGGCTAGCAGCGTGTTGTGTTGTGTGTTTGGCTTTAATACGCAGAAAGTGTGCGTGACAGCTTGTTTTATTTTACGCGCTGCTGCTGCTGACAAGCGTTGAATGAAACCTTAAAAAAAAAAAAAAAAAAACGCACAGTGAATCGCCTCCAGTTGTAAAAAACTCTCAGGCAAGCGATGTGAGAAGTGAATTTAAGTTCATCATAAAGTACGATAAGCTGTAAACTGTCTCTATGCAACACTTTGCCGTGCGCCTCGCTTTTTTTCCTGCTTTTGGAGAGTCTCTCACTCCGTGTTTTGTTGTCGGTGCCTTCCAGGCGGTCAGACGGGGACAGCAGGGCGAGCAGAGGGGCTTCCCAGACAAACACCGGGAGCATCTGGATGGTGGTAAGGAAAAAAAACAAAAAAAAAACCTGCACAAACATGCACATCAACAATTGGCCAAGTGTGCCAAAAAAACAAGGGGGCACAGATTTTGGACACGTGCTGCAGTTGTTATCAGGTGTCCACTGCAACAAAAAAAAAGAAAAGAAAAGAAAAGAGAGAGATGTCCTCGGTTTTCTCCTACTTCTTGCGGTTTCTGCTCCAGATTAGCACAGATCAAGAGAGCAGAACTGACCTCCACTAACAGGATTTTTTGGCCTTAAAAGCAGCTATTAGTGTTGGATAAATGCTCTCAAGCAGAGCTCATCAGCTTGTATGAAACACTTCCACCATCTTATTCTGAAAGTCATATCTGCAGCATGTGAGTGTATTTTAGTAGATTATAGATTTGTGTGATGACCGAGGGGTCACCCAGGGACATTTGGAGGTTTTCTTACCACCCAAAAAGAACAGATTTTCCACCCTGCACGTTTAGAGAGCATCCACACGTCAGCTTTAATTACAGGCGTCCCTGTTTGGCTGTTGTGTAACACACGTTTCGATTCTCAGGATCCTTTTTCGAGCAAAATCCTCATCAAATGTGGATTTTGCGGTTTTAAAACGAGGGTCTTTGAGAAAAAGTGAAACCCGCAAAGACGACTCTTGTCTTGCGTCGTGTCGTATTCGTTTTAAGTTTTGTCACCTTTTTCTCGGCCAAGTGAGGCTTGTGTCTCTTTTTGTCAGACCGAGCAGGTATAAGTGTAGTTGTAGCTGACCCACAGAGAGGCCTCTGATGCTTATTATGGGTGGTGGTGGTGACAAATGAATCAACACAAAGGCTTACAGGAGTTCACGCCTCTCGGTCTGGGTGACGGTTGTAACGCTTTTGTCTCAAGTGTCTGCACTCATGCAAGGATATAACATGTAGTAATAGTTGACCTGCTTTGTGTGCATGTTTATTTTGGTGTCTTCTTTTTGGTTAAACCTTTCAGCAGCACGGTGGAAGTAAGAGTCAGCTTTCATTTTAATTTTCACACCTAATCCAAAGCAACCATCACTTGTAAAAAATAATATGTGATGCAAAGTTTTAAATCATGATCATGAGGCACCAGAACCAAGAGTTTGATTGGAACTTCTACAAACTGGCATCATAAACGAACTCATTCCAGCATTTTTTATTACTTTCTAACTCTGTTTTGTTGCTTTTCATGTGTGACTTCAGTGTCGAAGCAACAAGATGGAGGCATGTACAAGTCACCGGCGTACCCCGGGTATCCGTTCCTGATGCTGCCAGACCCGTATCTCCCCAACAGCTCGGTTTCTCCATCCGTAAGTCCTCTTCTTCTGTTCTAAATCCTCCTGCTGGCCACTGTGCACCGATCGATGCTCTCCTCCTGGTTTCGGAGCTCCTTATCTGCCCACGTTACGTCCTAACTCTGGCCTCTGGTGCAAGTTTTTTTGCACTGAGGCTGCTGTTTGTATTCTTTAGCATCAAGTCCAAACTCTGAACGCAGCTCCTGAGCTTCAGGAGGGAGTTTTATTTGATGCACTTTTAAGAAAATTCAGTGTTGGCGGTGATGCTCTGGTCAAAGCAGCTGACCACCATGGAACTGTGTTGAAGCCAGTGGCTCCTGGCTGGATATTTTTTCATTTTTGTTAAGCAAATGAATCCTCGGTAGCCAGAATTCAATAGTAGCATATGTCTACAAGCTGTGGGATAAAAGTGAAAACACTTTTTCTTGGCATTTCTGTTTTTTTTTATTCTTATAATTTCGATTTTTTTCTTGCAAGTTGTGTTGAAAATGAGCACACGTCTGCTTAAATCCATGTAAAATTCAGATGTTCTTCTCTTTAAGATGTGATCAGCAATACTGTGGTATCTGTGAAACATTTTAATGTCTTTATACAGAATTTTTCATGGCTCTTTTTTTAATCTAAGTTGGTTTGAAACAGCATCAGATTGGTCATATATTGATTTTAGTTGGGTTTCTTTAGATGTATGTAGTAGATGTAGCGATTACATAATGTCCGCATCTGTCAATCAAGCCACAGAAAGAGCTTCTTTTAGTGCCGTGTCTGAAGTGAAGGTTGATCCAGGTTCAGAGGAGGCAAACACAGACTCTATCGGATGACAGATGACTGTCGCGTCGCTGCAAATCAGTCTCAAACTTAACATGTGCTCTGATTTGGCTTTGAACTGTTTCGCCCCTAACTGCCTTATAAAATAAAGCTGTATTTAAAACGGAGCGAAATGAAATCAAAGTGCCGCAGCTTCGTGAGCCGAAACGGAAAAAAGAGAGCTTGTTTTTGTTTACGCCTTTGCTGAAGTTGGAATACGATCGATGTCGTCATCGCCGAGCGTTTCACATGACGTTTTCCATCTGTTCAGCACCATGAATGACAAGAGGTTTGTTGCAGCCTTAATGGCAGCTCGGAGTGTTAAACCGCTAAAACAAACATCAGAAAGACTCGTGGAAGGATTTCAAGTGTGCAGTATCACTCATCCAGCCAGACAGCCCTAAAAAATTCATCATAAAATCCCTTCAAGTCAGCCATAAGAACCAATATCCATGGATAGGCTGACTAATTGCACCAAACATGAGCGGTTGTGCCTAATTCATTTTTCACGTGCTGCGTAATCCTGTTGCCTGAATTAACCCCCTGCTCTAGCAGACAAGACGTTTGCTAAACAGCATAGATGCCTGTTTGTCAGATCACATGTGCTGCAGGCTGATTTAATAGTGAATTAGGAATCTGCTGTATCACAAAATCTGCTTCTGTGGCCTGAAGAAAAAAAAAAACCCCAGCAGATTCTTTCTAAATGACACCTTGGAAGTTTCTGGGGGTGTTTTTACGACACCAGACCCAGCGGCCGGTCACGGGAGATTTTAAATGGGTCGTTGAAGGGTCAAAAAAAAAAAAAAAAAGCTGACAGTTGTAATAGATCATCTCCCAGTAAAAATAATTCCTTTAAAATGCCTTCAACCCCTTGCATTTTTAAAAAAAATTAAATTTTCAAGCTGTTGGCTGTTGACTGACATTGTCATTTCCGTGTTGTACTGTCTGTGAAAGTTGTAGCTCCATTGCAGTTGTACAGAATAATGTCAAATGAAATGTAATCAACTATGGCTTAAATAAATAAATACATTTATATATATATAGGGGAGGCTGTTCTCACATTTGTATTGGCTGTTGAATAATATATAAGTTTCCCCAAGACTTTGACTTGAAGCTGCCAGAGATGCTTTTAGAAAAACATTGATGCTGAAAAATGTTCATGAAGAGAAAATCGTTGACTATAGTTGCTTTACTTGTTTTTTTTATGGTGTTACACATGAAGGAGGATTTCTTTGGAAGAGAAGCAGAGCTTTGGACGATTAATCGATTAGTTGTTGTAGCTGTCTTGGTAATCGATCGTTCAGTTTGAGTCATTTTTTAAAGATAAAAAGTCCAAATTTTGTGATTTGGCGTCTAAACTTGTGATTACTTTCAGGTTTCTTTCCTGTTCTTTGATAGTGAACTGAATTTCTTTGAGTCATGGATAAAATTATGGGCTTTGGGAAACACCGATCTGCAACTTTAAAGATCAAACAACTGATCGATTAATCGACAATGAAAAAAATCGCTCTGCTTGTTTTTTGTGGTCTAACACATGAAGGTGCATTTGTTGGCAAGAGAAGCAGAGCTGCAACGATTAAACGATTAGTTGTCAGCAGCTAGTGCGATAACCGATCGATCAGTTTGAGCAATTTTTAAAGGAAAAAAGTCATAACTCTACGATTCAGCTTGTAAAACTTCAAATAGTTTCAGATTTCTTTCCTCCTCTGTGACAGTAAACTGAATTTCTAGACAAAACAAGACACTTGAGGATGTCATTTTGGGTTCTGGTAAACACTGATCTGCATTTTTCAGCATCCAGATTAATCAGCAATGAAAATAATTAGTGCAGCCCGAGAAAGAAGCACATGTTGTACAACAGCATCTCCCCGAGTCTGTCGCATACTGCCACTGAGAATATAATTGAATGAACTGCAAATACGAGAGAGAGCGTACTCATTGTTTCCTTAAACATCCTAACACTCGCCGTTGCATAACTCGACACATCCGGCGTCGTGTTCGACAAACAGCTCGCGAGTCTCAGTCACTCATCGGTGTGTCTTCTTCTTCTTCTCCTTCTTCTTCTTCTTCTGCTTCTTCCTGTCCTCCAGCCGTGGAGCGCCGACCGCAGAAGCCTTTCAGAGTTTGTGCTCGTTGAGGGTGGGATCGGGGGGTTTGCTGCTGCTGCTGGTGATGGTGGTGGCGGCGAGGGTGGTGGTGGGGGGGGGGCAGTGTGAGATAAAGAGCACTTTCTTTCCCCCCGTGTGTCTTCGAGACTCCACACAATGCTCACTTGTTGCTGCTTCCCTTGTAATTAGCCCGCTGGTTGTGAGGCGGCAGCGGCGAATCAGCGCCCCGTCTACCTGCCACTTGAAAGGGGCTCAGGGTGGTGGTTTGGTGGATGGTAGGTGTGGGGAGGGGACGGAGGGTGGTGGGGGGGTGATGATTATGGATGGAAGAGATGGATCAGAAACTACAGGTCTGAGCGACTGACGGAGGAAAGAAAAAAAGTGTGAGGTGGTGGTGGGGGGGTGTTTAGTGTTTTCTTAGTGTTGTGGTGTTAACATGGGACAAGGTGACACATGTTGGAGCTTTGCTGACTGCTGTTCGGTCTCGGGCCGCCTCTGCTGTGCGACTTCACTCTGAGCTGCTGGTTAGAAAAAAGTAGCAGGTCTTTTTATTTTCATGTAGTTTTTCAAAATGTCATATAATTGCTTCACGTTTTTGTATCTAATGAGCAAACCCCCAAACCGTGATGTGCCAAATTCAAGGAGACACGAGCTGAATCGTTGATGCTCTTTCAGTCAGTTTTAATAGACCTTCTTTGTGAATTTTTGTGTTTAGTGATTAAAAAAACTAGTCCCCAAACGATCCATCTGTCCATGGAAGATGATTCCTGTGCTTGGTTTGGATATTTTATAAATAAAAGTAACTAAAGAGTTTTATTCCATGACCTGGAGGCTGATACGTTCAGATTCATTTTAGGGTTTTTGGTGCTTCATTCAACCAGAATAGGGATTTTTTTATTCTGTTAAGAGCCAAAACAAACAGTTTAGTAGAAGACGAATCTGCAGCTACTCAGATTCATTAATAAAATCATTCTTTAAAGAGCAAATATTCCAAAAATGCTGGTTTATCTGCTTTATGTAATGTTAAACTGAACGTCTTTGGGTTTTGGACATTTGACGCTGATGCTTTAATTGGTTCTGAGAAAGTTTAAGTTTTTTTTCAGTGCCAAGTAATAATGCTAGATTGATTAATTATGAGCCTGGCTAATTATTGGATTCCAAATTCTGCATTTTTCTTATTCACTATATCAGTTTTGTAACAGATTTCCAATAAGATGAATTAATATAAAACTGTGCTACTGTGGGCTCTGATACATTCAGATTACTCACCACCATTAATAGCCAATCAGCACTGAAGCTCTCTTTTAATTAAACATGTGTTAAACATTCTGCAAAGTTTCGTGTTTGACGGTCAGTCGCCTCCTTTAATATGCAGGAAGGAAAAAATCTGTAGATTAATCAGCGATGAAAGCAATAATTAGCTGCAGCCATAATTATTTTATAATGTTTCCATCTCTTGTTTTTTTTTTACATCTAGAAACACTGGCATAACCCTCCGTCACACTTTTAACATTTGCCAGCCGAGTTGAAGGGTTTCTAAAAACCTCTGCGTGTTCCCGTAAACTGCTTTAAACTGTCGAACTCATTGTGAGAGCATCAGCTAAATGACTGAGAGTCAGAAATTAATTGTAATATTTGTCTGTGTTTTCCCTCCCCTGAGTAAAGCGTGTGGGTTTTTGTCTAGTCTCATTTTTAAGTTTGAATATGTTTGGTATAGCTTATGTTTGGCTTCAGAGAAGAACCAGTCGTTGATCGCGTTGCATTTCATGGAACTAGAAGGAAAAAAAAAAAACCCAGAGCTGCTATTGTTCTGACAGATTAAGAAGCAGAATGTTTGACAAAAACACAGATAAATCGCAGCCTTTTATACCCATTATTTTGAGACTAATGGTAAAATCTCATGTAAAAAAAAAAAAGAAGCTTCTAATCTCTGTTGAGAAGTCTTTTTTTTTTTTTTTTTACAAAGTGCACTCGTGAGGCCGCTGCAAAGTGCGTCCCCTCCTTATCCCATTCAGCGATAATTCTCCTATTACAGCATTTCATGGGACATTTCACTGTTGTTAATGGAGATATCAGCCCCAGTGGCCAAAGAAGGAGATTTGT